TCACAGTCAACAGAGGGATACTCTTACTTGTACTCAAAACTCACTGAAACAAAGTTCATACAAAAGTGAGAAATAGGACTTACAGATTATTATTAAAACCTACCACTTATGTTAAATGTAATAAACTAATTTCTTTTAAAATAAATTTTACTTAATAGTCTTAAAGAAAGTTTTTTGTGATGAACAATATAAATTACTTTGAGGTGCTTCTAATTTCTTAACATATTTATCTGCACATTTTAACCTTTTCCCTATTGAGTGAGTGAGTTATTAAACAAAGCTTTCTTGTTACTACATTTGTTCTTACCTAAATGAAACTCTACTACAAACAGAGCCAAATCCAATTTAATCTCTTCATTATTAGGTAAGTGTTTAAAGAGTTTTCCCCTGCTAAACATCCATGGCTTAGCTGTACTTATTACATTTATTTATATTAAGTTTAAAAATGGGTGAAATCCTTTTAAACATTAATGTTCAAGGCAGCATGATAGTGAAAGAGAAAGTAGGTGTGATCAACAGAGCCAATGTATGAATAAAGCATGAATTTATTAATATACTTAATATTACACAAAAATATTATACAACATAATGATTTACATGGTCAAACATAGTAAGAAAAGATGCACCTTAAGAACTTTTCACTAAAAGCAAAAACAAACTACATATATGACTGACTAATGTTCCCATCTCTTTCATATCCCTCAGAATTGTTCAGTGTAAGTACATACACAATAAAATATCTGGTCCATTGTAGAAAAAAATCACATTATCTACAGTAAGTACTATAAAGAAGTTAATATACAATTCTCTTAACTTTTGATAACATAACATTGACTTTTTATTTATGTCATATTATTCAAACATAAACACTTCTAGTTAGTCTTTTTTTTTTACTCACACAAACTGATACAATTTTCTTGCATGAATTTTAATATTTAAAAGATCTTTATAGGTTTTAGCTTCCTTCCAATATTTTAACTTTGAGGTTAAAATCAGTGTTTTTTATTTCAAAGACCAAACTAGCCTGTTAAACTTAAATATCTTGAAATAAATGGCTAGTACATGAGGATATTCCTAAGGCTTGTTAATTCCAACATGACTCAATATTCACGTACAGTATATGTAGGGACTCCGAGAGCCATTTCATCCAAGTGGGCAAATAAAGATTACACTACAGCCTGATACAAACCACAACCAGCCTCTAGATCTAACTTCTTTGTTATAAATAAGCAAACTTTTGAAACTGTTTCATAGCAATGATGGGAAAAATTGATAAAGTTTTGTGCATGAAAAATTCAAGTGTTTTCAAAATGCAACAAAGATGAAACTCTAAAGATTTTCCAAGATTGTAAGGTCAAAATATATTAAGTAAGGTATTTGGACTTCCAGAACTAACTTTTAATAGAAATCTATTAATTCTGGGATTGAATACTGTTGAGCAACTAGTTCTCTAAGGAGATGATCAAAAGGAAAACTTTTTGTGGGACTTTTAATACAATGTCATGTGAATTCAAACAACTTATCATGAAAATATGAATATATTAAGCATCCTACCCACCAGTGAAGAAAGGTCTACCTTCTAAATTGTGATTTAACTATTCTAATCCAGTTTTTTCTTATTCTCATGAATGCTTTACAACATTGCTTATTCACTCGCTGAGACTGTTAAGTCTAGAAGAATACTCCTCATCTTTTCTACTAAACCCAGTTCAGTAAATACAAATTCGTAGTTATATTTGGGCAAAGCTCCTACTTGTCAGTATGATTTTAAATACTTCAAGATGATTCTTACATAAAAATTCCAGTCTGTGATTTCTGTTAAACAAATCTGGTTCTGTTCTGTCAATTTTGCATTTACTTTGGTATAATTTCAATCACATTAACAACCAGTGTCATGAACAACACTGATTTATAGCCAGCAATAAATCTGAAATTAAAACTTAATATTAAATAACAAGTATTTAATTAAATAAAGCTCTGATAAAAACACACAAACACATTAGGTTTCTTTATAACAAGTGCTTTAATTTCACCTATGCAATGAGTTTTCTGACAAATTTCAAGAAGTTATTGAAGAAGAATCAATAAATTCATTGTAGAATATATTCCTAAGACATTGAGCAAATACCTGAAGAAAACAGTTTCATGTTCAAGATTCTGAAGTTCCTGTAAGGCACTCAGTAAGGCATGTTATTAGTAACTATTACAATAGAGCCCAAAAGATAGAAAAATAATGACAAACTGAAAGGAAACTAAGAGGGAAAATTCACATCCTGATGTCAATGACAGTTCAATCTTTTCATTTGTCATTTTCAGTAAAACTTATAAGATTATAATGATGAAAATACTTTGCTAGAATTTTTGAGTGATGGTTTAGTTATATAAAACTTTCTTTTCAAGGACAAGAAATTAAATCCCAACTTTAAGTTTTACTTAAGAAAAAGAGGAATTCTAGATGATACAATTTAAAGTGAAATTAAAAAAATAAACAATGGAAGCTATTTCTTTAGACATGCTTCAGTTTCATGATCAGCCTTCAAAAATATACTTGCTAAACTTCAAACATGACAGAAAAACAATGAGCAATGACAAACTGTACTGCACAAACATTTCAAAATGATCTTACAAGAAAATGAAGATATCATTCACATTAAAACTTGAACATCTTAGAAACTGAAAACATCATTCCATACCTAATTGTAAGGAGGTCTTATTAATAAAAAACAAAAAGGTCCATAATGTTAAACTGACCTAGATTATTACTTGAATTAAACCAAGGCATTTTAATTTTCTTCTTTACAGTTTTGCTGACAAGATTTCCAATAGAACTTTATCCAGTAAGAACAATTTCCTTTTATACACTCCATTTCTCAAAAACTATTATGTATCAACATGGATTGTTATTACAATCTTTGACAAACAGACATTTAATAATTCAAAGTTAATGATACCATTTTCAGATAGGAAACAAAACTGGCCTGTGGCAATAAAAAGCTGAAAATACTAAAATAATTTGGTTTTCCTACTACAGTAATAAACACTGACAAACAATGGTTTTGAAAATGGATACTTAATAAACACCCCTATAATGACTTGCATGCAGTTTGAACAAAACGTTAGTAATGAACCTCCCTTTGTTGTACTAAAAAAATACAGAAATTTCATAGTGATCAGAAATAAATGTAATATGGTCCTCAAAATATCTTCATCTGAAGAGAATGTTTAAAACAAAGATTTACTAATATTGATGATGTTTAAAATGTATCAAAATATTTCTAATTTGGAAAGAATTTTCAAAACTTAAGGTTTATTCATGAAAATTACAATTTTCTGGAAAGCAAAAAGAAAGAAACAAATTAGAGTAGATAAATAATATTTAGTGCTATACATTAAATCTGCCATAGCAAGCAAGATAATCAGTCTTTTTTTCATATATTTTGATTTTATATTTACATTCTTTGCAATATATCTTTGGGTACAAAGAAAATATTTTCTGTAAAAAGCTACTCAAAGTTTTAAGTTTCTTTACCTTCAAACTCTAAAATAGCTGTTTGATTCTGTTATTAACTACTACATCTTATATTAAGAGCATTTCAAGTCATTTATAATTCACAAATGAAGCAAGTTGAAAGCAATCAGCTAGGAAACTAACATGAAAGGCACTCCTTTAGTCCTACAAACATTTCTGTGTGGACTTTGTACATAAATTGATAGCCATAACATTTCTTTCCCTCAGGTTTAGTTTTATCATTACAAAAATCTTCTAACTGCTTCTCTATGAAATAAAAATCTAAGTAAGAATTAGTCTTCTTTCCTCTAATGAAGGTAAAAAAAATATTAATTGCATAAAGATTTGATAAGGCTGTTAATATTATATATATATATATATATATATATATATATATAATTCTTAATCCTACTACTATTCAAGAAAACGGACCTCTACACACGCCTATTAACTACTTGTTGTTCAGCTGACAATAGACTGTCAAGTACAATG